CCTGGAAAGAAGCATTTGGGGACTTTCTGGGGTGATGGAAATATCATATGTGTTGTTCAGGATGGTGGTTACACAAATATATACAATTGTCAAAGCTGATTGAACTGAACACTTAAAACCTGTGAATTTATCTACGTAAAGTATCTCAATAAAGAGAGCTCCAATTTCCTCAAAAAAATGTTAAGAACTTTTGTTCATCAAAAGACACTGTTAAGAGTGTCAAAGCAAACCAGACAAGCAATGTGTCACATATATAACCAACTAAGGGCTTACATCCATCATAGAGAACTCCCACAAAACAGTAAGAAAAAGACAGACACACTCTAATAGAAAACTAAGCAAAAGGCTTGAACAAGCACTTCACAGAAAAGGACATTCAAATGTCCAATAAATATGAAAAATTGATCAATACGATTAATCATCAGGGAAATGCCAAGTCCAACCACAATGAGATACCACCATATATCCACCAGATTAGCTAAAATTAAGAACACTAACAATGCCAAGTGTTAGCAAGGATGTGGGGCAACAGGAGCTCTCATCCACTGCTAGGAAGCATGAATCGGTTCAATCACTTAAGAACACTGTTGTTTGGCATTCGCTGTTCAAGTATGCATCCAACCACTCAACTCTTGGGTATATATACCCACCAGAAATGCAAGCCCTCCTACAAGCAACAAAAGACACGTATCTGTGTAAGAATGTTCCTAACAGTATCATCCATAACAGTCTGAAACTGAAATAACTCAAATGTCCATCAATAATAGACTAGAAAAATATAACACAGTTTATTTTTACAATCAAATACCAAACAGCAATGAAAACAAATGAGCCACAGCTACACACTGAACTATGAGGAATCTCACTATCATAATCTATGATGAAAGGAGCCAGTCACAAAAGAATATATACAGCGCACACTATGATTCAATGTGTATAAAAGCCCAAAACGTACTAAGTTAGAGTGTTAGGGGTATATACTTAGGCAGTAAATCTAAAAAGGGAGGTAGTGATTCCCGTAAAGGTGACAATGGAGGGAGGGAGTGGGTAGTGGTTGGGAAGGGGAGCTTGGAGCACCGGCAAAGTCTGATTTCTCTGCCTGGGCGATAGCCACACGAGCATTTGCTCTGTGATTTATTAAGATAATTTATTAAGCTGCACATTTGTTTGATGCATTTTCATATAGTGTGTTGTTATATTCATAATAAAAGCAATTTTAAAAGGAAGAAAAAGATGATATACCTCCATGTTTAGGGCCTAAGGGGAGAGACCCTTTGGATAATTTTTCCTCTTACTTTTCTGTAGCTGTCTCATAAAGAAAAGGAAATCTAGAGTTAGACCTTACCTTAATTCAAATCCCAGCTCTCTCTGATCAGCTACATGACCTCAGGCAAGTTGTTTAACTCTGTAGACTTGTTTCCTTACCTGAGAAATGGCGTAATAGATACTCCTCAATTTATGATGGGGTTGCGTCCCAATAAACCCATTGTAAGTTAAAAATGTCGTAAGTAGAAAACGCATTTAATATACCTGACCTCCTGACACACCTCATCTACCTTAAAGGTGCTCAGAACACTTACATCAGTCTACAGTTGGGCAAAATCATCTCACACGATGAATACACTGTAGGATATTGGTTGTTTACCCTGGTGATTGCATATCTGGCTGGGAGCAGCAGCTCGCTGCCCCTAGCTTGAGAAAAGATCATAATTCAAAATTCTAAGTACATTTTCCACTCAATCTGTATCACTTTCACACCATCATCAAGTCAAAAAATCACAAGTCAAAGCATCTTAAGCCAGGGACCATCTATACTGGGCTGGTGGGCGCCCAGAGCACAGTAAGTGCCCGTCCATCCTCAACGCTCACTGGTGTTGGCTGCTATTGTCATAAGTCTAAATTACCTTTACCATGAAGAAATGAAAGTGAAATCCAGTTTCTGGCATATGAACATTCATCACACCTCACTGTGATCGCTTAATTCGTTTTCTTCTCTGCCTGAGGGTGGGCACCATGGGGACAGAGAGCGCGTCTGTCTTGACCCACTGCCATCCCCAGCTCGCAGCGCAGGGCCTGCGTGCAGGGAGCCCAGGTGTTTTGCTTTTAGTGCAATGCTGCAGTAACGGCAGCCTGTGGACACCTGAAAGCGAACCTCGGCGCCCAGCCCTGCCTCTGTCCTTGCTCCTCCAGAAGCAAGGCGTGCTCAGCAGCCTAAAGGCAACTTACTGCTGAGCCCAGACGGGCAGTAAACCATTGCACCAGCAGGCAAGGCTGAGAAAAGGCGACAGGCAGTCAGCCAGAGGTGCCAGGGAGGACTGAAACACTTTGGCAGCTGTGAGAGCAGTGAGCTTCTCCGCCCCCTCTGCCTCATGGGCAGCAGCTGCTCGGATGGAGCCTGGATTTGGGGGAAGGGTGAGCTCTCACACAATGTGGGCTTTTGCTTCATGTGGGACTGTGGATGTTCAGACAAAGCGGACACACCACATCCTGCATGCAGTTCTAGGTCCCAGACGTTAGTAGAATTAGGCTATGCCGACTACATGAGCCAGTGCAGAGCCTGATTTGCCTTGGTTTTCTCTGCATCTAATTTCACAAATGTCACTGAATCCTTTCAAGGGGCCTAGTAGGTGCCAGGCAGTGCTGTATATAGGGCTAGAGATGAGTCAGAGCCAGTCTCTGTTCTCAAACTGACACTCCACAGGACATAATAAGGAGAGGGCCTCCTGTACCCCACAAAAGCGCTTGCACTCACCCTCGAGAGTTCACATCTAAAATCAAAACCCCAGCCAAGACATGCCTGCCTTAACAAACTCTAAGTGTCTGTGCCTCACAAGCTTCAACACATTCCTTTTCAAATAAGATACAGAAACAGGAGTTAAAGGGTAACCTTTACACCCTTAGTACCAACATCTGGTGCAGAGCTCCTGGTCTATGCAGAAAGTGACACAGAAGGGGGCAGACAATACCACACGTGAGTAGGATACTCAAATGTGGGTCTTACTTGTGCCATTAGGTCCTATTTATGCTTCCTTTGCCTCATGGAATCCAACAGACCGATTCCAGTACAGAAATGTTCACACACAATATTATTGCTGTACCAAAAATTGGAAACCATCTAAACAGTCAACAGGAAAACAGCTAAATAAAACACATAACTATTATATGTTTTAAAAGACTATTAACAATATGGAAAATGTTCATGATTTGTTAGATAAAAAGCAAAATACAAAGCTCTATATGACCTTTCAGCCAGAAATGACATTTTCCAGTAATTCACCAAAATGACTAACACAAAGGGAAAGAGGAGAGGCACCTGCTATAGGGTCTCTAGGTCTTTTAGAAAACATGAGTTGTTCCTTTGGTCACATGCATGCAAATTTGCAAGAAAGGTGATACTGTAGACATCAAGGGAACAGGCACTGTTCAAAAACAAATGCCCCACAGATGTTACCATGGCAAAACTGGAAGAGTCTACAGAGTCACCCAGCATGCAGAGGGCATTGCTGTAAACAAGTTAAGGGCAAGATTCTTGCCAAGAGACTTAATGTAGATATTGAGCATGTTAAGCACTCTCAGAGCTGAGACAGCTTCCTGAAACGCGTAAAGGAAAATGATCAGGAAAAAAAGGAAGCCAAAGAGAAAGGTGCCTGGGTTCAGCTGAAGCCCCAGCCTGCTCCAGCCAAGAAGCACACTTTACAGAACCGATGAAAGGAGCCTGAGCTGCTGGAACCCAATTCCTATAAATTCATGGCATGATATGTGTAAAAACATAAAAGACCTCTGTACTGCTAAAAACAAAAAACTCTGTATGAGATCAAACTCATTTAAAAATTATAACATATATATATATGTCTAAATTATGTATTTATAGACCAACAGCTCAGGTGCCTCTGCATGACTCTGGGAGCATTTTAAATCAATGAACTGATTCCTAAAAGTCAGAAGCTACCTGATTTGAGCACTGGGACTTGAGTAGCAAAGACTGTGCCATCAGGAAGAACCCAAAAACCTAGATCCACTTGGGGATGATCTCCCAGGATGGGGGAGTCTTCAACAGGGTGACAACAGGGAGGCCAGCATGCCAGAAAGCACACATTGATTTAACTGCTTTATTTTTCTTTGCAATCCTATTTTGCTATAGATTCCAACTTTAGTACTTAGCGGTAAATTGGACCTAAAGTAAGATTTGAAAGTAAGTGGAATTTGTAGAGGCGGAGTTCTACTGTTAAAACAAACAAAAGCAAGCTAGTCAGTTTAGCTTCCCCCCAGACACAGCACTAACCCTATCCAAATGAAGGACCCCATGCCATCATTAAAATGAAACACATTTATAAAATCATGGATTGATATCTTTGCCATTTATTTTTTAAAATCTTATTCAAAATATTAATACAATTTCAGATATGAAAAAAATTACTGCAATAAAACAGCTCAGGTGTATTTCCATTGTGCTTCCCTTCCCTATTAGAACAGTAAATTGTCCACTGAGAGAAGTGATGGACTGCCCTGCTCCTCCTATCTCTACACAAAGCACACGCCCACTCGATCACCCTGGCTTTTTGAGTGGGTGTTTGACATACATTAGGGATTATCTTTTCTAAAAAGTTGGTAGTGACACTTGTAAATCAAACATGGTTCAAATCACATATTTACACACTGATCAGTTCTTTACGATAGGCTGAAATAAAATACAGTAATAATTTCCAGTTGCTGTTTAAAAAAAAAAGTACAGTGGGAGAAAACATCAGTGTACACATATATTCTTTATGTATACAACTTCATTCAGATTTAATTTTAATTTGAAAGACCTATATATAATATTACTTAAGCGATAATGGCCCCTAAAATTTATTCAAACTTACTACAAAATAATAAAGTGAAAAAATCTGATATAATTTTAAACTCTGCCCCTTGCTTGAAAGCTTGGAAGAACCCATGCTATAATCAATTGCTAACTAAAAGCAATTGTACATGTATTTAATATTTTACCACAATTTCTACCTCTAAATTTAATTCAGTAATTCAAACCAAAAGTGTTATTTCTGTAACATTTTACCTATGTCCACTGCAAACTGCAGTCTCTATTCTATTGCCAGAATTTCTAGACACATTTATTAATTGACCTAAAATTGTGGTCAGATTGAGTATCATTATCTTAAATTATGTTTAAATTATCTAAAAATATCCAAAGCAATTTTCCTGGAGAAGAAAAATAATACTTTACTTATATGCAAAGTATTATTACATACATCCTTGTAGATTACAGTTTGAGAGCACAAAGAAATGTATCCTTAAAAAAAAGTATTTGGATGGCAGAACTAGAATCTGAGTCAGCAGTACCAGATAATGTTAGAATTTAGTTACAAGTTTGGGATCTTTTAAAAGTAGCATCACTAATACTTCCAGAAGTACAATAAAGAAATCTAAAACAATAAAAAGTAACAGGTAATGCTCCACATTTTGGCCAACTGATTGAATTCACCTCTGAAAGTGTAGATAAAAAATTATATACTCCTTGTTTGTGGCATTTAATTTCCAAAGCACCAAGGCAAAATAAAGAGAGACCCACCTCTCATTTAATATCAATTGCCTATGGCAAAAATCTTCACTATATCATATAAAAAGTCAAGCAAATAAAATTACATAATAAGCAAACTCAAATCACACTTCTTTAAAAAATATAATCATTGGTAATCTTCAGAGAAGGCATTGCCTCATTAACATTCTGGTCTAGACGATGATATTCCACTGTTTTGGAACAAAGACCATCACGCCATTTCCTGCTTTGAACCAGAAGGAAAATCTGGAATAAGAAAAAATAAATTAGACATTTATGAGAAAAAATGGAGGAGATGCTAAAAGTTTTTATAACAAGTGAAATACCTTTTCCCTAGGTTCCCAAATACGAAAAGTAAAATATCAACAACAGCAAAAATGCTATTTTGTTTTCCATCTTGTAAACAAGGCCAGACAGTGCTTCTCAGATTTTAATGTACACAGAGTGCTTGTTAAAGACTGATTCCTGGGCTCTCTCTTCAGAGATGAGTGAGTTAGTAGTCTGCACTGGAGTCCAAGAACCTACCTATTTAACAAGTCCCCTAAGGTGTTTATAAAAGAGATGGCCCAACATTAAACAGTGGGATAGAATATCCCTGGCATTCAAAATTTTGTCCACCTACAAATATTTACAAAGCTAGTGATAGACCACTAAACCACAAATAACCAAAAGGATTTTAGGATCACTGATTCTCAATGCTGGAAGGCATTTTGAAATTATCTGGTCTAGTTTTGTCATTTCTCAGGTGAGAAAATCAAGGTCCCAAAGGGAAAGGTGGCTTGCCAGGAATCACAAAGCAAGTTACAATAAAGTCAAAATCTGAGACTTCCTGACCAGTAAGTATTAAAAGGACATTGCGTGTTGGATCTCCCTTTAAGTATTTGAAAAGCTTAACTGTTCAGCTCTGAGACTAAGAGTGCCAAGATGCACCCTTACACTAAGTTATCCATCCAGTCCTCTTTTTCAAAAAAAAAAAAAAAATTTTTAATCTTACCCGAGGATATGTTACGATATGTTTATTGCTTTTTAGAGAGAGGAAGGAAGGGGGGGGGAGAGAGAGAGAGAGAGAGAAACATCGATGTGAGAGGAAAACATCAACAGGATGCCTCCTGTACACATCCATATGCGCCCCAACCAGATCAAACCCACCACCTAGGTGTATGCCCTGACCAGGAATCACACCCACCATCTTTTGGTGTAAGGACGACACTTCAACCAAGCAACCCAGCAAGGGCCATTCAGTCCTCTTTATTCCTCCTTTGCCTCATGGAATCTAACAAACCAATTTCAGTACAGAAATGTTCATCACAACATTATTTCTGAACCAAATATTGGAAATCATCTAAATGTTCAAACAAAATATGTAGCTATTAAATCTTGTTTTTAAAGAATATTAATAATAATGGAAAATGCTTATTATTCGTTAGGTAGAAAGCACAATACAGAACTCTACATGAGATCAAATTCATTTAAAAATTATAACATACAAAAAATAAAATTAAAAATTATAACATACACATATATGTCTGAATTGCATATGCATTTGCAGACCAGAAATTCACCAAAATGTTACTAATACTCAGCTTTGGGTGGAAGCCTAAATTTTCATTTCGGTACTTTTCCTTGTTTTCTGAATTCCCTAAAATAAACTTTTACAACCAGGGGAAAAGTTATTAAAAAATCACTAAGTTAAATGCTTGATTAATTAAAAGTACTAAATTAACTATCTTTCTCCACAAGTATTCCCACTGAAATAGCAATGTTAAATTAAGATATAAAACCTTTTACTTTTTTTAATCGCGGTATTTTGCCCTGGCGGGGTAGCTCAGTTGGTTAGAGCATCATCCTGATACACCAAGGTTGTGGGTTTGATCTCCAGTCAGGACACATACAAGAAGCAACCAATGAGTGCATCAATAAATAGAACAACAAATCTCTCTCACACCCACTCTCCCTTCCTCTCTCTCTCTCTAAAATCAGTAAATTTTTTAAAGAAAAATTTTTTTAATCACAGGGTTTTTGGCTTTTGCTCATTAAAAAATAATTTTATTTCCTTTCTTAGAAACACATGTAGTAAAGAATTCTGACTATAATTTGTTAAAATATACCACAGATTTATAAACTGATTAGGCATCTCAATATTTTACCATTTTAAACTTGACTAAAGAAAAAACCCTGAATCATCAGAAGCATTAATAAGAAGTACAACTCAGATATTAAAAGGCAACTAAAGAGGCTGAAAAACCCAAACTTACCTTTCTTTTGTTGTGATATGTAATGTAAATAACAGCAATGCAAAAAGCAAAAATAATAAGATGAAAAAAGAAATGGCTATCTTCCTCTTCTATATTTGAGGATGGGGTCTTAAATGATCTCACTGACTGTTCAATTTCCATGTAGCCCCTGTTTTCTTCCAACGTCTCACTGGACTCATCCTCCCTGGGGTTGGTGGTCCAGTCATAGTCTGGTTCTCCATAATCACCATTGTCCAGAGTATCTTTGGCAGTGGAAGGAGAACTATTCAGGGTGAGAAGATCCTCCTCTTCTATGCTAGGATCTTCATTGTTATCAGCTTCCGCTTGGGACGAAGAAGCAGTAGGTGAGAGATGAGGGGAGACCGATGCCCTTCCGCTTTTCTCTGTACTAGTTGTGGGAAGGAGAGTAGTGCTGGTTTGGGAAATAGGAGGTTTGGTTTGTTTTTCATCTGTTAAAACAGCACTCACATTTGGAGTAGAAACATCTTCCTCGGGTACAGTCTCGCTCGGTGAGTTAGCTGGTAATAGAGCTAAAATAAGTGAATAAAAAGCATTAAATGGAAATCTCTGGCTTTATATCCATTAAGCTAGAAGCATTTTAACTTAAATTTTTTACTAAGCATTTCTCTTTGCTAAATTCCTATATCTTGCTCTTGAGATTCAGTTAATAAGCCTCAATAGGCAGCAATCAGTTAGTTTTCTTCAGTCAGTCAATTATTCATCAGATAACAACTGCCTTGCCAGACAGTAACAACTTAAGCAGCAAGGAAGACCTACCCAGCCAACAAAAGAAAAAAACAAAGAATAAAGGGGACTTTGACTTTAGGTCACACTGGCAAAGTCCAAGCACAGCTCTCACCCAACCCCTCTGTTTTCATTTCACGAACGGACTGGACTTCAGTAATCTTTGCCCAGCCAGACTCCACCCCATGCCCAGAACAGAAAAGCAGTGGCTGATCCTAGCTCAAGTAGATCACAAACTAAATATGAAATTTGGGTGCTGGGCACACAGTACAATATACAGCTCTTGTGAAAGAAACCTATATGATCCTATTAACCAATGTCACCCCAATAAATATAATAAAAAGAAATCTGAACTTAAGTACTTTCAACACAATACAACAAATTCAAGAGAAGCTAATGTAGACAGCATTTCTAAGTGCTACTAGAACTGGAAGATCCCCACCTCCCCAATTTATTTATTTTTTTTAAGTATTCTTAGGAAGAAGAAAGGGAAAACTCCTAAAGGAAAAATATTGGAAACCGGAGCTTAAAACAAAGTGAACTAGACTATTTTAAAGATTAAGGAAGGCAATCTGGGCATGGGAATGACACCAAATACATACAAGCTCTTATTTCCCTATGCCCCTACCCACTCAGCATGATTTACTAAAGTGAAAGTTAAATTATTTACAGAAGTAACTCTATATACCACAAGTTCAGAGGCATGCCTGCTGAAACTTAACAGTGTTTCTAATTTACGATCTAATGTAGTATCTGTTGAACAACTTCAAGAATATCCATTATACTTTTTTAAAAATGTCACATGAGATCTAAAAATACTCACATAATATTTTTAAGTCTATCAAAGTAAAGGAAAATAGTTTATAGGACTAAGATTAAACCAAATCGTTCCTGGGCTTTCAAAACCAGGTGTGCATGCACACAACTGAACAACCTAACAGAAAACTCTTTGTCTATGTGAATACATTCTGGTTTGTGTATCATCCATTTCATACAGAAAAAATTGGACTGACTAGAACCTCAGAAAATTTAATAAATTAGTAAAAAACTGAGTGATTAGTAAAACTCTCCTGAAACAGTTGCAACAGTTGGTTCCTTCAAATTTTTCACTAGAAGAAAAGAAACAAACAGGGACTACAACTGAGTGCATTATTCAGAAAACTATTAACAGGAAATTTCTTAAAAGATTTTGACATTTATCACCTCAACTTAGTTATGATTCAGGCATTTACAAATTGTTGTTTCTCTGATACATTTAATTTTCCTGACAAAGTGTGGGAAAACATGTTTTAAAATAAAATTTTAAAACTGGGAGCCAACAAACTAGACTTGATTTTCAAAACAATTCTTTTTCTATGCTTGACCTTTGGAACAGTCATGCACATTGAAAGGACACAGCTGAAAGGGGTGGGAATGATTATAACTCGTCCCCATCTCCCACCCCCTCCGCGTCCACAAACCCCTCCACCTTGCGCTCTAGAATTCAGTCACTCACCAGCAAATCCCTTCTTTCACCTTTCACTTTTTTAATAACTGAAACCTGAATCTCCCTTAAGGACATACTTTCCCTGCAGCCCTATTAATTAATAGTTCTTTTTTCTCCCACATCCTTGTACACTGAGTATAGAAGAGGGAGAACTATTCTACGGGAGAATGGGTGGAGCCCCTTCCAGACCATTCTCCCACTTCCCTCCCTAAACGCCCCCAGCCTTCATTCTCCTGTCATCAGCTATCACCCACTAACCATTGTCCAAAAATTCCCCATTAGGATCCCTTATTCTCAATGATTTTAGCTTCTGGCTTGAGTTCACTCTACCCAAATACTTCTGTATTTTTTTCTTTTTTTTAAATATATCTTTATTGATTTCAGAGAGAGGAAGAGGGGAGAGAGAGACAGAAACATCAATGATGAGAGAGTCACTGATCGGCTGTCTCCTGCATGCCCCTGACTGGGGATCGAGCCGGAAACCTGGGCATGTGCCCTGACCGGGAACCGAACTGCAATCTCCTGGATCATAGGTCGATGCTCAACTGCTGAGCCATGACGGCTGGGCCGAAATACTCCTGGTCTTGATTTCAAAATCTTTGACCTCCTCTCTTCTTATGGGCCATCCCTGCCCCTTACCCTAACTTCTCACTGTCAACGGTCATTATCTATCATCACAACTCTTCCAGAATCTCAATTTCATGCATCCCACTCACTGACATGACCTCCTATCCTTCGAATTCATCCCTGGTATTCTGAATCCATCAGGACCACAATTCTCTGATCCTACCACCTTTTTAGTCCCTTGCCCAATACATTCTTGTCGCTCTTTACCCAGATTCAATTCTGTGGCCAGCCACTATCCCTCTCACATACACCTTCAATTCCCTTCCCCCTTGCTTGCTCACTTTGTCCCACTTATCTGGTGAGGTTACATCCCAAGTTAAATCAAATTCTCTGACTAGTTCCCATCTGCACCAAGCAGCTGAGCATGGCTGAAAATAAATATACAACCATGCCATTGTTATTATTTCACTTAAATTCAATGCCAAAAATTCAAGTGTACATGTAATGCTGTTGACAATTACACCATATTTTCCTAGTCCACCCACCCTACTGCTCCCTTAGGAGACCATTTGCATTTTCCTCTGTCCTCAAACTTCCAACACCTTCTTTGTTGTCTTCACTTTCAACTGATGACATCACTTCCTAATTTCTCTGAGAAAAATGAAATGATCAGAAGAGAACTTCCATGAACTACCAGACTCAAGACTCATAAATCCAACTGCCTACTTGAAATCTCCTCTTACATGTCTGACCTTCAAATTAACATGTCCAAAATGAATTCTGATTCTGGCCTCCAGGAAGATGGAGTAAACATACTCTTCCCTATTCCTCCCGCTAAATACAGCTAAAATCCTGCACAACATACATAACATAAGAAGACTCTGAAAGGTGAAGAGAATAGGCAAAGTGTTAGAGACCTTAGGGCCTCAGAAATGACCCAGTGGTGACTTCCCTGGATTTTCTTTTTATTTCAGGTATTGCAGTCTTGGCGCTGAAGAAGGCAGCAGCAACCTGGAAACACCAAGAGGTAGAGACAAAAAGGGGCCCACAAAAAGCCTACTCTCTCTAGCCAGATTAGAAGAGAGGCAGCCTAGCAAGAAAGAAGACTTTTAGACAATAACCACTCTACTCCAGGTAAACACCACTCACATTCACACCAGCAAAGGTCATGGAGGGAACTTAAATGTCCACCCTCCCCAGCCTGTAATGAGGTGCACCTGCCGCTTCACAATGGGACAGTGTCAGAGGAGGCCTAGTGACCAGTCAAGACTTTAACCATTTCCCAGCAGTAACAAGGCCACCCCACCATTATGTCGGTGGAGACCATGAGGGGAGCCAGAACTCCCACCCTTGCCCAAAAGTAACAAATGAAGATTTCTACCTCTATCTGGCAGTAATATGAAGCAACCCTCCCTCCCCTGCCAGAACAATGTCATAAAAAGAGAAAGTTTAAGTAAGACCAGAGTCTTAAAAACACAAACTACCACAGCTCACCCAATATGAAACACATTATTTGAATAGCCCTGTAACTATTAAGGAAATTAAATTCTTAATTTTAAAACTCCCCAAAAATAAATACCTTGGCCCAGATGGTCCGCTAGAGAATTCTACCAAATGTTTAAAGAAGAATTAACACCAGTTCTACACAATCTCTTCCATAGAATAGAAAAGGAGGGAACATTTCTCAATGCATTTTATGAAGCTAATATTATCCTGATACTACAGAAAAAGAAAACTAAAGACTGATATCTTTCATGAACATGGATGTAAAAATCATTAACAAAATATTAACAAACAGAAATCAGCAATATATGCCCTGGGCAGTGTGGCTCAGTTGGCTGAGTGTCATCCTATGCACCAAAAGGTTGCCGGTTCAATTCCCAGTCAGGGCACTTGCGCAGGTAGAGGTTCGATTGGGGTGCATACAGGAGGCAACCGATTGATGTTTCTCTCTCACATCAACATTTCCATGTTTCTCTCTCTCTCCCCTTTTCCTTCTTCTCTCTTTAAAATCAATAAAAACATTTTCAAAAAACAAAACTGTGAGCCCTTTAAAGAAAAAAAGTGACAATAGCAAATGCTGGCAAGGATGCAAAGAAACTAAATCACTCATATATTGCAAGTGGTAATGTAAAATAGGACAGCTATGCCAGATAACAGTTTGGCAATTTCTTAAAAAACTAAATGTGCAACTACCATATAACCCAGCAATTGCACTCCTGGGCATTTATCCCAGGGAAATCAAAACCTATGTTCACACAAAAATCTGAATGTTTATAGCAGCTTTATTCATAATAGCCAAAAACTGGAAACAACACAGATGTCCCCCCACAGATGAACGTTTAAATAAATGTAGTACACATCCATGCCACAGAATATTATTCAGCAATAAAAAGGAACAACTACTGACATGTGAAACAACTTGGATGAGTCTCCAGAGAATTACGCTAGGTAAAAAAGCCAATCACAAAAAATCATTCTCAAAATGACAAAATTATAAAACCAAAAAACAGATTAGTGGTTGCCAGGATTTCAGGAGTGAGTGTGGATAGAAGGGAAGCGGGGGGACTATAAAGGGCAACACAAGAGGTCCTTATGGTGATTGAAATGCTTTGTATCTTGACTATATCAATGTCAGTGTGCTGACTGTGATATTATACTACAGTTTTGCAAGATGTTACCAATGGTGAAAACCAGGTAAACAGTATACAGGATCTCTGTATTATTTCTTGCAACTGCAAGTGAATCTACAGTTATTTAAAAAAAAAAAAGTTTAACTTAAAAATGCACTTTTACTTCCCACTCCAAAAAGAAAAAACAAAAACAAAAACTTGTTCTACCTATACTCTCCTTCTTGCTTAATGGAAACTCCATTTTTCTAGTTACTCAAGCCAAAAACCTTGGACTCATCATTTTCTTAATACCCACATCCAATCTGTTACCCTGCCTTCAAAATATATGCAGAATTTGAAGTCTTTTCACTCCTCCACTACTAACATCTAGTACAAGTCACCATCATCTCACCTGGATTTCTACAGCGGCCTTCTAAATGATCAGCCTGCTTCTATCCTAACCACTACTGTCCACTCTTCACAACAGCCAGAGTTATCGTGGCTGATGTTAAGTAGGAAGATGTTACTCCTCTGCTTAAAGACCTCTGGGAGCTCTCCCAGTACAGCATCGAGCACAGTGAATAATACTGTAATAACAATGCACAGTACCAGCTGGGTACTGGAAATACCAGGGGGAATCACTCTGTAAAGTATATGATTGTCTAACTACTATGCTGTATACTTGTAACTAATACAAAACAATACTGAATGTAAACTGTATCTGGAAAAAAAATTTTTTTTAATCTCTGGGAGCTCTCCATTTCTCTCAAAAATGAAATTCCAAGTCTTTACAACAGCCCACAAGATCCTACATGATCTGACCCCCACTACTTCAATCTCATTATCTCTTACTAATCTCCCTAACTACTCTGTCCCCAAGACCTACTTGACGGAAAGCAGGCATTCAGTACAGTGGTGCCTCAGTTTTCCAACGTCTCCATTGACGAACATTTCGGTTAACGAACATTTCGGTTTACGAACACTGTAAACCCGGAGGAAATGCTTCGGTTTTCGAACACACCTGGGAAGTCGGACATGCCACACGACTTCTGCTGAGGGTAAGATCCTGAGGCCTAGCTGTCGGCTGTCGATCCCTTGGTTTTCGAACGTTTCAGAACTTGAACGGTCTTCGGGAACCGATTGCATTCGAAAGCCGAGGTACCACTGTATTTAGCGACCATGTTCTTGACCCAACTCTCATCACATCACTTCCCAAGTTGCATCTTTTATCGACTGTAACCTCTGAAAAGCTTTTCCCAGAGTTCTCGGCCAGGCAAAATCTCACTCATTCTTCTAAGGATATCTCCACTGTAATCCCATTTGTTGTTGTAACTCCAATACCCAGCACCAAGTAGGAGGATAATTAATCTGTATTATTCAAGGACTAAAAACTTGGAAGTAATACACAAGAAGACAAACTAAGAATTCACCTAAAACACCTGATGCAAATTAGATCAACCTCTTGGACCTCTACTCCTTCAAAACAGAGAAGTCGATCCAGTCAGATAAGAGTATTCAAAACAAAGGGATAATTCTGGCTTTATGGATTTAATTGTTGAGCTTCTACAAACATATGCATATTCTTTTAGACTTCTAAATGTTCCATTTCTACCCTTTCCTATTTGATATTACCTCTCTAGTTAAAATTTAACATTTTAAAAATAAAACTTCCTAAATTTAATTCTCTCCTACTAGTCTCTTTTCAAAACTGCCTTAAAATAAACGATATCGTCCTGACTGGTAATTCAGTTGGTTAGAGCATTGTCCCGATACTCCAAGGTTGTGGGTCCAATCCCCAGTCAGGGCACATGCAAGAAGCGACCAATGAATGAATAAATAAGTAGAATAACAAATCAATGTTTCTCTCTCTTTCCCCTGCTTCCTCTCTATTAAAATAAATAAATAAATAAATAAATAAATAAATAAATAAATAAGTAAATAAATAAATAAATAAATAATAAATCTGCTAAAAATAATTTTTTTAAAACAAACTATATATTTCTCAAACAAGAATGCACAGAACCCTGAGAATCCATTCACACATTTTACCTTAAAAAATTAAATACATTACACATTAAAGTTAGGTGATCATTTGGGAGCAACACAAGGGCAAATGAAAAAACAGACACTTTTGAAATGGCATGGTAAGACTTGGTCATAAGGTGATCATCCAGTGATCCAAAATAATATTTATATTAACATTTTACGCCTTATCAAAACAAAAACATAAAACTTAAAAATTCTTACAGATTGCCAAGAATATACCCAACCACTGAAATCTTAAGAAACCTAATATGGAATAAGTTTAAATAAACCTGATGTGGTAACTTTCTAACTTCCTATGCTTACTTGAATTCAGTACATTCTATCTAGACTTTAATTTTCTTATTACAAGAGTAATACTTTGAAATCAACTCTACCATAAGGCATGCTTATAAAAACAGTAATATTTAGCCAAAGCTTTATAAATGCTACATTATACTGCAATCAAGCTGCTTCCCTATTAAAAGCATATATTGTAGTTTTCATTTAAGTTATTTTCAGTGGGGAAAAATCTGAATTTAAGTATATATATTTAATTTTAAAAAGAAAGAAAATCCCTGAGATGTCCCACTATAGTTGGAACAATATTTCTGGAACTCTAATAAATAAAAACCTACGCAAAGGACACCTAGTAATTCTCTAAGCTTCCCCTCACAAGATTTTCAACTGTCTCTTAGGGGGAAAAGTTGTTTCTGAAACTACAGCTACTAGCCATATATCCCCCAAACCAGGTATCTTAAGCATTTTAACAAGAAATGTAAGTAACATGTCAGTTTTTCTTAGAAGACTAAACGACCAAAACAATCATGCTACTTAAGTGCTTTAGGAACACAGTTAACTATCTACATCAGCCAGGGAAATCCTCATTGTATTTTACAAATGATGAAAGGGCCTTGGGAAAACGGACCACAGTCCTTCTCCACACACTTACAAACACTCCTGGGGGCGGGGGTGTCCAGTCGCCCTACACTCAGTGCTGCTGGGAACCCTAGTAACCACAGCACTTCAGTAGGAGAATGAATGGCTAGACAGCCTCGTTGGCAAACAGAAGAACACTATCCCTTTCAGTTTTCCATCTGAAAACTCAAAGATTTAGGGAGAAAAGCAGGATTGTGTCTTAACCTGAAAGAAAAAAGGAACTACTACAAAAAATACTGTTTAATCATTATAAGTTCTTACTAGTGGACTTGTTCCCCCTAAGCTTCAGGCCCTGGTTTACGTGTTTCCTCATTTCTCAGTGAAACCTTCAATATCTTGATTCACAATGTAACATTTCTAAGAAAATAAATACTTAATCATGCAGCATTATTTATAATAGTCAAGATAGAGAAACAACCTAAGCGCCCATCAATGGATGAATGAATAAGGATGTTAGATATATAAACATGGAATATTACTCAGCCATAAAAAAAAAATATAGGAATCTTGCCATTTGGGACATGTATGGAACTTGAGGGCACTATGCAGACAAAGACAAATAACATATGATTTCACTTATATGTGGAATCTGAAAAAACAAAACAAGTCAAAGCAAGACAAGACAAAGAAAAAAGGCCAAGCTCAGATACAAAGAACAGACTGATGGTTGGGGGGGGACGGGAGGTTGGTAAAGAGAGTCAAAAGGTACAAACTTCCAGTTATAAAATAAGTCACGGGGAGGTACTGTACAGCATGGTAACTATAGTTAGTAATACTGTATTGATTGCATATTTGCAACTTGTTATGTGAGTAAATCTTAAAAGTTCTCAATACAAGAAAAAAATATTGTAACTATGTATGAGAACATATGGTAACTAGACTGACTGTAGTGATCAGTTTGAAGTGCATGCAAACATAGAATCATTATGTTGTACACCTGAAACTAATATAATGTTATATGTCAATTACACCTCAGTAAAAGTAATTAAAAAAAATTTTTAATGAAGTGCTTAAATCCTGTGGATCCATTACAATAAAGCAGGCTTGTCCTGTCAGCCCAGGACTCGGGGAAGGGGGCCGTGTTGAAAAGAATCCCCCTTCTCCGGGCGCTCCTCTCCTCCTCCCAAGCCCCTGTATTCTGGTTTTTGCACCAAACTCCAGAAGCAGACCTCACAGATGCCAGTGCCTTTCACTTTTGCTCTCCGAGCCACTCCATCAGCTCAGTCTGGTCCCTGCTCCTGCCCACCTTGGTCCTGGATGACCCCTGGGTGCCCCCGCCCCACCCCGAGACCCTGTATAGACACCACACCTCCTAACCTCGGCCATCTCCTCGGCCGCCTCCTCTTCGATACCCTCCTAACTACCTACCCCCTCCAAGGAACTCTGGAGACGCCCCCCACCACCGCCATTCCCCCCGTTCTTCAAGCCTAGACCGAGCCACCACTCCTCCCTCCACGCCCATCTGCACACTCCGCTCCCTGCGCCCCGGGTCCCTGCTGCTCTCATCCCCACTTCTCAGGCCTCGCACAGACCCCACGTCCTTAGACCCCTTCAGACAGCCTACTCTCCCTCCTCGGGCCGGCAGAGCCCCTGCGCCACCTAGACCTCGCCTTCTGCTCGGGACACTCGGAAGCGCCCTCTCCCTGGCTCCGCGGGTCGCCCCCGACCGCCCTGCCGCCGCGCCCGCTTTACCACTGGACAGGGTGGCGGACGCGAGCAGGAGCGTCAGGACCAGCGGCCGCTCCAAACCCCCGGGGACCTGGATGCCCGGCCGGGGCGGCAGCTTCGCTTGCGCGGCTCCGCTCATTCTCCTCAGGGAGACAGCGGCCATAACGGACTCAAGCCCGGAACCTGCGCCGTAGCTAGGCTCTGCGTCATGACGTCAGGCATTGCGTAAGGCATCCCCGCCCCAGGCCCCTACGTCCCAGCGTGATGACGTTGCAGAGTGGCGCAGGGCCCTGGGAAGGGAAGTGAGAGGGAGGGCGGCGGGAGCTGGGCCGAAGGGAAGCGCCCCCTCGGCGGCGGGGTAAGGGGGTGACGGGGGGGTGGAGGGGTCAGGCGCGAGCCTGTCCCTGCCCCCCGCTTCACGGGATGGCGTGCAGCGAATAAACGTTTGTGAAGGAAGAGTAACTGTGGACCAGACCGGTCCCTAGGGGACAGGACAGTGGCGAAGGGAGCGCGTTAACAGTGGCCGCGGCCGGAGGGTGGGATTATAGGTAAATGCTTTCTTTCTTTTATCTTTACCCATAATCCTGGATCTCTTATTTCAGTATACAGCAGTAAACAAAACAAATCCCTGCTTCTGCGGAGTTTGTTTTCTTGTGAGGGAGACTGTAGTGTAAAATAGACACTGTATACGGTGGGAAAAGGATTCTGGGGGGGAAGCGGCCTAGGAAATGGAGGTGCAAAAAGCTTCCACGTTTCCTGCAATAAGTTTCTATTTTTTAAATGTTGTCGCTTAAAAGAAAATTCCCAGGATGTGAAAATGCAGATTGAGAACCTTCCAGGGAGTTGCCTTAAGGCCCTGCAGGGCACGGTGCTTCGGTCTGTCTGCTCTGTGACTGTTTCCTTCATAAACATCTATAGGCTTCAAATAATAAAAGTTTCCATTAGATCAATCTGCATGAAGTGAGACATTTGTTGTGCCCACAGCTTCGCCGCCCTGGGCCGGTGATTCCCCCAGAAGACTGCAGCTATCCCCCAGGCCCAGCTGAGCGGCCTCTGAAGAGACAAGGGCCTGTGTTCTCCTGAATCTGGTTTCCCGTAACATTTATCTGGCCCTGGTGACAGCCCTTAACCACTACATGGTTAAGAAAACTGAGAAGCCATTCATCTGTTCGTTTCCCTAAGCCCACCGCAAGCCCACATAGACTGAATGGTGCCCTTGCTGCAAAGCTTTCAGGGTACAAGTCTTCCCAAATTCCCCTGGAGCCCTCCCTTCTGCGAGTACAGAAACCACCATTCAAATTTAATGAATAAGGATCTCAATTCCAGCGTCTGTTTGTTGGGAGACTCAGATTTAAACAGGCCTTTTTCTATAACAAACACACCTCAATCCTCTCCTTTGTCCACTTTGTCCCTTTGTCCCCAGATTGTTTCAGTCCTCTCACTGGTGAGCTGTCATCAACTCAAAGCATTTTATATGATGTTGTCATGCTGCATACAACAGGCAGATACTTCATTGAGAATGGGAGGAAAGTAGTCTCTCATACTCAGAGGGCCCTTTGTACATTTCAAAATACCAATACCGTACCTGGCATCTGACGAGATGTGCCCAGTATTCATTATGTGCCATAATCTATGGACAAATTCAACAAAGTTCACTTTGAAATAGCTGCACGTCATTATGAACCTGATGAAGAATGTGACAAATACTGAGGCCAGGAGGTTTGGTGTAGTTACACAAAATGCTGGAAACAAACCTGAAACTTGTTTGCAACTACTTCCAGATATCCGTAAAAAGGAACTTTGCCTGAAAAATGTATCATTGGACAGAAAAAAAAGTTCATATTTGTTGAAATTAGATGTATATGTAGGGTGTTACTATCCTATTTTGTGAATGTTTGAAACTTCCACTATGTTATTTTTAAAATTATAAACTTACGGCAAAATTCTAAAACAGCCCCCAATGACCCATGCCTTTTCATGACCCCCTGACCTTGAATGTGGGAGGGATCTGTGAATATATCACTCCTGTGGTTAGGCTGTTCCATGATCTAATCAGGTGAGCCCTTGAAAGGGTTAGTGCAGTTATAAATTATGGGGATGTAATATACAACATGGAAACCATAATTAATGATACTGTGTTGTACATTTGAAAGTTGCTAAGAGATCTTAAGTTCTTATCAGAAGAAAAAATTATAACTGTGAGGTAATAGATGTTAACGAGACTTATTGTGGAGATGATTTTGCAATATATACAAATATTGAATGTTATGTAGTACACCTGCAACTAATGTTATGTCAATTACATCTCAATAAAAATAAAAATTATTTTTAAAGGGGGGTGGGGCTATTCCTGGAGATCTGAAGTGTGAGAGGGATTTGACAGTTTCTGTTCCAGCTTTGAAGATGGAAGGGACCACATGGCAAGGCATGCAGGTGGCCTCCATTCACTGAGAGAGGCCCCTTGCTGATGGCCAGCAAGGAAATAGGAACCACTATCCTACAACTAAAAGGAACTGAATTCTGCCACAATCATGTGAGCCTGGAAGAGGACCCTAAGCTCCAGGTAAGAACACAGCCTGGCTGACATCCTAACTTCAGCATTGTGAGAATCTTCACAAAGAGCCTGGCCACACCATGCTTGGATTTCTGACCTGTAGATCTGTGAAATAAATAAATGTTGTTTTAGCCACTAAATTTGTGGTAATTTGTTATGCGGCAATGGAAAACTAAAAATCTCTCTCACACACACACCAACCAAGGGGCCAAAGAATAATACCAAATGCCCTGTTTATTTACACTTTTTATTAATAAAGACAACAGAAGAAGGACAAGGTTTCAATATTTTATTCAAGTTTTATTTTAAGTGATGTTAATTACAGCATTTGAAAGGGATGATCTAATTCCACACAATGGAAGACTCTAAAATGTACCCATTAAACTGCTAAAAAATAAACCTAGTGGCGATAATACAACAAAAGTCGNGAAGACTCTAAAATGTACCCATTAAACTGCTAAAAAATAAACCGAGTGGCGATAATACAACAGAAGTCGAATTTAGGTTCTGAGTGTTGTCACCATGTGATTACAGTCACAGACTCTTCCCAGCTTGCAGCTGGAGCTCTTAGAAGCTATTTCATACTCTGGTGCAAGGGCAAAAAACCACAACATGAGAGGGAATTAAGTCCTGAATTATTGGCTTCATCACATCCACCTTCTCCACCCCAAAATGGCACAAAAGAAACTACCACACCCTGCAGACTACTTTTGATGCAGAAGAGGTGATGGACCGGGGTGGAACCAGGTCATGAAGATCTGTCTAAAAAAGTCCTGTCAGATGAGTTTGAACACACCATCAAACAGTGAGCCTCTCTCAGTTAGGGTAGGAAATCAAGATTCAATACTCATGAAGTCATAATTTCATACATTTAAGCAATACAAATTTACAAAGTGCTTACAAGTCATCAGCTTCCATTTGCAGCCATTTCTAGATAAAAAAGAAACCTGACATCTCTAAGGGCTGCCACGTTGCCCCATGTCAACAGCTGAAAGGACCTGTTTGGGAATTGGGTTTCTTCTGTACCTCTGAAAGGGTAACACCTTAAAGCTGAATCATCTTTAACCTGGAGGTCTAACATGGTATTTAGCAATACTTGCATCCCAGACATACAACATTAAAAGGTACACTATATTCTGAAGGTAGCTATGCTGCAAAACAGTTTAAAATTAAACGACTGTACAGTCTTCGTTTATGCTTGAAATTCCAGTCCTAGACCAAGCTTGTGGCCACCAGCATTGACGTTCTTGCCATCCAGCAGAGCTGACAGTGTCAGTTTGATACCTGCAGGCAGAGAAATCATGGGGAGGGATGAAGAAAAGAGAAGTGAAAACACGGAGGAACGCTGGAGCATCCTGACAAAACCACACCAAAGTCAAACCCTGTTCTGGCTGTGTGATCAGGGGCAAAACCACATGGCCCTGCAAGCCCTGTTACTTAGTAATGCCATGTGACTAATTAATAGGTAGCCCCAACCACGAATCACCACCAAGATCTTACACTCACATTCACAACATGTGCGCCCACCACTGAGATTTTCCGTACAATGGCTTGATTCTGACATCACATAATCTTAGATTTCCAGGGTTCAAGGGCCCAACTTATCCAAATAACCCCAAGGTGGTATTAGCTCCAGGGACTGGCCTAGCCAACTGCAGAGGGAACCTGCAAACCAGTTTTACCATGGGGATGACTTATGGGCTAGTTTTAAGAACTTGCTGGAAATTAGTATCAAGCACTATGTAC